GAAACTGAACAGCCTTCACTAAAACAAGCATAACTTTTTGTACAGTTAGAATTTTGAAGCAAGGCTGGTCCCATTGGAAAGCTTACTTCCGGGGCTTCAATTCTGACACAAGATTGACCTGAAAAGGAGTTCATATGAAGAAGTTATGCCCGTTTGAAGTTGGACCTGCAGAGCAGATTTTTCCTGCCGGCCGGCCAAACATTTTGTCGACCGACCAAATAGATGGCCGACCGGCCAGAACAGATGGCCGACCGGCCAAATAGATTGCCGACCGGCTAGTTAAAGTAGGCGACCAACCAATTTTTCTAGCCAACGACCTTCCGGAGTATTCTACAGATTGAATGGATGCCAGCTGTGCCAGCTGGAATGCACAGACTCTGCTCCCCATGCACGTGTGTGGCTGTTTTGCACCCTTTGCACCCCTTTTGACCCTCTTTTTTGCACCCTTTGCTCAAAGCTTCTTGAGGAAGCTTTGACCCCTTGTCTTGGCTTCCTTAAGAAGCTTGCACCTTTGCATTAGCTTCTCTTAGAAGCTTGGTTCCTTTGACCCTTTTGTATAGCTTCTTTGAGAAGCTTTATGCCATTTCCTTGCTCTATAAATGAAAGCCTCCTTCTCCATTGTTTTGGTTCAGCAAAAACCAGACCTAGGGCACATATATCTGATATATATACACCCTCTCTCCATATCTCCCTCCATCTCTCTCTTTCAAGCTCAAGCATCCAAGTTCCTTGCACCATTCCTTCATCACTACCTAGCATCACCACCACTACTCCATTTCCAGCAGCTTGGGGAGCTTTCCAGCAGCTAGGAGGCATCACTTCTCAAGCCAAGAAGCAACCAAAGTTTGGTCTTCAAGGGTGAGTACCATTCCCACTCTTTTGAGCTTATTCTTGTGTCATTTCTTAGCCATACATGCTTGCTGTTTTGAGCTCCGACCAAAACAGTTCATTACCCCTTTGTATTGCCATAATCTTGCATAGCATTTTTGGCCTATGTGTAATATGTTTCAGAGCATGATGTAAACTTTAGATAGGCTTATTTTGAGCCCTTCTTACTGTTTGGGACCTCCATGTGCCACTTCTCATTATCCCCCTCTTTGATCCCCATTTTTGCATGATTTATTAGCCTATTGAGCTTCTGTTTTTGGACCTTGGTCCGAACTGAGAGTGGCCATATTTTGACCCCCTTGTCATGTTTCATTAAGAGTCTTTGTCTGTTTGATGAATGTTTTGTATACTTTGTGTTTTGACCTCTTTTGGGCCCTACCTTGCATGGCATTTTGAGCATACTAGTATATTGTTTTGGGGGTTGCCATAAACTGTAAGTAGTCATATTTTTGGTCCCTCTTCAGTGTAGTAGAGGAGTCTTTTTCTATTTGGGCTTTGAATCTACCACTTGCTTCATTGCCTCCCTTGCGGAGCCATTTTTGTATGACAATTTAGTCCCACTTGTGCTTACTATTTGGCCATGCTTTGAGCTGTAAAAATGCTTATTTTGGGGCTGCCTTGCTTCTGTCTTTTCATTCCATGTACCAATTATGTATGCTTTGTATAGCTGTAAGCCATTTCATGTACCTAGTTTTGCATTTCAGGAGAAATTCCATGCATCGGGTATCATTTCGCCTTGTTTCGGGGCTGTTTTGCCCCTCATTTTGCTACTGATTTTTACATGTTTACATATCATATTCCATGTCTTTGCCATGTCTCATTAGAGTGGCATTTCGATGCCTGAGGGTCAGTCCTCGGTTTGCGTGCACGCGTGCACGCATTTCGAGTTGTCTTGTTTTCATCTAATGGCCACTGATGTGGGTGTGACTAAGGTCCTCTCACATTGGTGTAAGTCCATCTTGCATTGTGTATGCCATGTTTCAATGCGTTGTGCATGTTATGTTGTTAGCATTGTGTGTGCCATGTGCATTGTTGTGCATTGCCTCGCCTCTTGACCAACCATGATTGAGGTTGGGTCCCTTGTATGTTTTGTGTGCATTGCATTTGACATTGAAATGCATACTTGACTCTTTGGCCATCATGCATCGAAATGCGTGATTGGTGGCCCGAGGGTCGAGGGCCATGCTCCCTTGAGTCCATTACATGATAGGGAGTGTGTCCATGCATACATGTGCCTGAAATCCTATGCCATATGCTGTCTATTCTCTGTTGCTGTCAAAACTGTCTTCTGCAGGGAGCTTCTGCCGACCGGCAGAATTTAGTGCCGACCGGCACTTTTTGAAATGCCGGTGACCCAAAATTATACACTGCCGGTGGGAATTTCCCCCAGCCGGTGGTATTCTGCAGTGTGCAAGGAACCTGTCCCAGAATTTTGGCATTTTTCAGAAAAGCAAGGCAGTAAAACAGAGGCAGCAATGGTAGTGTGCGGGCTTTCTGGACGAGACGGATTCGAGCATGCATCATTTGCGCATCCCGAGGCGGGGGGCTGTGGCCACCTTCCCTTTTGTTTACATTCATTCTGCTATGTAAATTAGAAATTCTGTATTAATTTTATTTGCTTATCATTCGGAATGTAATATTTATTTGGTCCCTCCGAGTGAGGACGATTATGTAATAAGTGTGCGTGAGTGTGTGTATGTCTTCCAACCTCACGTCTTTCTTCCCTTTTATTTACCTGCTTATAATGGTAGATTAGGGCATTTTTTCGAATTAGCATACCTTATGCTATGCATGTGTGCATTCATGCATCCGTATTGCATGCACCGGGCTCGGTACATCATGCTAACTGCATTCGAACTTCAATTCCAAATTGAATACGTGCATCAATTGACCGCATTTCACATGCCATGCTTAGGTTAGCCGAGCCTACTTCAACTGCATCCCGTATGTGTTGCATTAGTCAATCTAACATGAACTAGGACATGCATGTTTGCTAACTAATTTATTATTTTGGCACGGAGTACTAGGTAAGCTTTTATGCTTTAGCATATCGCATGCGTGTGAGTGTTGCCATGACAGTATGATTACCATGAGGCTAGCTGCTTATGTGATATAACTGCTTGAATGCCTGTGGATGGAGGTTGAATTACCTAAATTGGAATAATGCATTAAAACTGTGAGTTTTAAGCCCACTAGATAGTGGCAAAATCATCCTTTCTAAAAGCCCACTTGAGGGTGGCAAAACCTGCATTTTAGCCTACTTGCGAGTAGCAAACCATTTTCAAAA